TAAGGCTTAATGAAGGACTAATTTTAGATATTCGATAGTCTTACTCGCTTTTTATTTGATGATCCGTACCAATGACAGAAGTGTCTGATGTCTACGTATCTTTCTTAGACTCTTCAGTTAATCTACGAGCTGTTAATTCTAGACATGATTGGCGTTTGACATCAACAATACGTATAAAGAACATAGCTTTGATGGAAATAATCTGACATTTGCTTTTCTTCTTGCCTTCTTTTTAGTTCGAGTTAACATGTTTGCAATATTTTTCAACTGAGTAACAAGTTGAATTTGAAAAAAAGAATACTACGTAGATCGATGAGAAGGAAAATAAAATTATTTTGTCAGAGTTATGCTCTTAATATATAATATTCGTTTCGAAATTCAGTCATTTCTAGGAATAGCAGGTCGTAGATTAGTTAAAGTATAGAAGTTGGTTAAAAAGTTAGTAATGAACGAGTCTTTGTGATATTGATGAATCTAGAATAAATAAATATGTCATAATGAGATGAAATGAAAAACTGAAATAAGACAAATAAAAGATTTTTTTATTTTGTGAAACCACAAGAATGGAAAGAATGTAATGAATATCATAAAATCAAATTTCTTATCAGTATTTCAAATCACTGGTCTGTAAAATACTTTTTGATTGTCAGTATCTTAGCAAAGAAGTCTAATTGCTGCAATAGTAATCTGATTTATTAAATCTAAAAAATATAACAGCAAATAATAAAGAGAGTTTTATGTGTTGTTGTTGTTGTTAGCAAAATTATTAAATTATATTCGCTACGGTAACGAAGAACTAGAAGACATGCCTCTTTTTCCTTTTTTGAAAACTTCATATTTTTGTTAGAAAGTCGTTTATGAAAACGTGAATGTGCTAAATGTATTAAGTTTCGTTCGCTTCAACCTCCATCTCTTCTTTTTTTCTGATTGTAATGACTATACGATTAGTAAAAGAGTTGCATATTTCTGTTGAAAAATGTCGCATGATTGTTGATAAAGGTGACTCTTTTCAAATGACAACAACATGTCATAAATACGAGTTCTTATTCAAATATTGTGATCGTCAAAAGATAAGTTCTAAATAAAATAAATGTTATATTCAAAATTGGCGAAGCAACTTGCTTCGAAAGGTCCCATAATTTTGAAAATGAATCTTCATTTGATTTTGACTTCAGGGTAAGCACAGGTACGATTATTTGAAAAAACAGTTAAGAGAAATGTACTGTTAAATAGACAATAAATACTCATTTTTTGAAGAGTTTTTTCCTGATTTCGGATCTAATATTGATTTTTCAACAAGAATATGTAACTTGTTTAGTAGCCGTATGACTAGCAAAACCAGAACGGAAAAATTAATGAATACTATAATGAGCAAGGCTTGATGTAGTTATCATATTCGACTTGTTAAAAGCTTTTCACAGTTTTACATATCAGGAATAATTTTAAGAGATCACTTTATGAGCACTATCAAAATATGAAGAAATGAATCAAGAACATTTTGGTTTAGTTGCGCATTTCTTGAACCTTACATGTTTTAATAAAAAATGTTGCTAAACACTATAAATTCACTGCGAAATTTACAGATGTATTGCAAAACAAAAAATGCTGAAAAATGATATTAAAAGACTATATTAATTATAGAGAATATGCTAAGTTATCGGTTTCTCAAAAGCAAGTTTTTTATCTTTCCTATTTCTAAGTAAGATGATTCACAAATCATTTCAATAATGTGCTACTGGACAGATCTTGATGAAAATTATTACTTTTGAATTAAATGCTTCTAAAATGTTTTACGTACATTAGTTGAACAACAGATTGTATGACAAAATATAGAAAACGGAGTTGCCACTACAGGGGATAATGATATGAAAAACAAAATATATGTATATGTACTCTTCTAAACATAAGTTTCCTAATATTGACTAATTGATTAGTAGAGAGGTTGCTGTTACTAATAAATACGGATATCGTTTAGTTTACTTGATTGTCGGCGGTTTAAATATTATTCAGAAAAATGAATCATATTCTTCGTAGCGAGAATCAAATGCATGATATGATAATCGGTTACCCAAATCAGCTTTCTATCCATTCAGCCCTCGCCATTTTAAACGTCGTTACCATATGTTGGAAGTACTTGGATATAGTGAAACATTTTATAACTAAGTCAATATTATGGTGACTTTTTATTTTCTTCTTATCAAAGGGTAAATATAACTGCTAAGCAATAGAAAAGAGCATATACAACTAAACAATAATGAGTTTTACTTTTTTTGACTCTCGAAAATTTTAAAATGATTCAGAGCGTGAGTAATATGTTAGTTGTATTTCAAAAGCCCATTCTTCTGAATCATATTTAAATCGTGAATAATGAAATGGGGCAAAAGTTATTATAAAAGATGTCAAAAAAGATCTGATCGAAAAGTAAATGCGAACGACTCGCTTGTTCATCGAACGTGATCAACTAACTTCTTTTTACTCGATATGTACGACTGTGAATTAATATTTTCATACAGATAAGCTACGTAGATATTGTTCAAAATTATTACTATCGATTGAAATACAACTTTTGTGTCATTCAGATCTATCATATATTACCCTGTAGTTCTTCAGTAGAGTCAAACTTGAAACTTGAAATTTCATTTGAATTCAAACTTCAAGTTTAACATATATAACACAATTTGAGTTCTTTTTATAGTGAAATTTCAAAATAGATAAATAGAAACTACACGGTAACATCTAACAGATTTGAAGGTCAGAAAAAAACAAAGAAACTTAATCATTCAAAGAGAAGCAGTATGTGATGGTTTTTAGAAAATCAGAAAATGATCACCTTTTGTATTTCGATTGAAAGTAATAATGTTGAATAAAATTTATGAAATTTGTCTGTGACAAAAAGAATTGAGTGTTTCATATCATGTAAAAAGAAAATAGCTGCTCAAATTTACTTTTCGATCGGACTTTTGAGGTACTTTCTCATATTTTAACATTCATGGCTGTTCTCAATGTTTTTCACTTTTAATGTCACGGATGCCTGTCTGGATAGGTTTGAATGTTGATCGTATTTTACTGCACCCGAACCCGATATCAAATCCACATTCAAGTATGTGTACGGTACACTATCGAATCATTTATTTGATGAACTTGCGAAGATAAGTTAGTAAGACCAAGAATTTTTGGATAGTGATCTTGCAACCTCTGAATTCTATGAATTTTACATGTCGTTCCTATCGAATCCAAAGCTCATTTCAAAGATGATTTTTCGAACATCTTATTGATATTATTCAAAAAAAGGATAATCCCTCAGACGAATCAATGAAAGGTTATCATTCGCTTTCTCTAATGAACATCGTCTATAAAATCTTATCCAAAGTGCTCAATAATTGGCTAAGGAAAGTGATTGAAAGTGTAATACATTCAATTCAATTCAGTCAAACTCTTATGTACGAACGGTTCGTTTCATATCCGATTAAATGATAGCGTAACACTAGTAATCCCATTCCATCCGCATGCATCTTCACCTGTTAAGTTTTGTCATTAATCAATAAGAAAAAAAAACAACGTCTACTATATCAGGTGAGTTCTAATTGATATTCAAACACGATCATCTAAGTGAAATTAGATGGCCATTATAAGTAAATTTTATTTATGATTCCGAAAAAACTTGTTCTCCTCGTTTGTGCTTTTGTATCCTGCCGAAACATCTAAGTCATTAGTTCATCACATGTCTTCCGAAAAAAGTTGTTTTTCGCACATCTAAGTATATCGATAGACATGCTGTAGACTTTAGCTCTCTATGTCAAATAAATAAAATCTTGAAGAGAGACAATAGAGGCAATCAATGCATTTATTGTTTGAAATTCTATTTACAAAAAAATATTTTTTTTTGCGAGAGGACAATGCTTTTGTTTAGAGAAAATGAAGAGCTCTAGTTTCTTGTTCTACTTAGAGATTGTTTTTACTGGTGACGTTTTATACGAAATCGTTTTGAGGTTTCCTGTTGTAGGTTGAACTCGTGCCGTAGTGGGTTGAATGCGCAATACAGCATCTTTCACACGCCATAAATGTTCTTTCCATGCATGCCAAAATCGAAAATCTAATGCTGCAATAATGAATGGATCGAGTGCTATAACCAAATAATTAAGTATTCCAACAATATAAATTAAGAGTTTCACGTTGAGTGATGCTTGATAAACAATTATATTTAGTGACCAAAGTCCAAGCCAAAGAGTATAAAAGCAAACGAATTGAATAACTAATGAACGATGAAATTTTTCACTAGCTGAATCATAATGTTGACTTTTTCTTAAAGTGGCTTTCTTATGAACATGACAAATACTTGCATAAATTACCAGGAGATTGAGAAATATAGGTAATGCAAATGCAAATATAGTATTAAATATTTGAATATACATATTTGCATAAAATATAACACAAGTATCTCGAACAAATCCACGAACACCAGTCCAACCAACAATACATGGAGCAATGTAAACCAGTAATGGAATTATATAAATACCAAGATGTGCTAAGAGAAGTAGAACTTTGTTGACTGCGTATACATTTTTATTGTAAACTATTTGAATATAGCGACATAAGTTTAATACCAACAGAATGTATACTTTAAGTATATTGAAATAATTATCAAGGATGGCTTCAAAGTAACAAATAAATATAATCCTTGATGTACTTGGATGACAGTCAGTAGATGTTGTATGAATAGTATAAGAGAAATAAAAGCGAAAAAGAAGAAAAACATCAGTAAGAAGATAAGCATAGATCCATTGCATTGATGCTTGTCGAATAGATGAAGAAAAAAACAATTGAAGCCAAAATGCTGCATGAATAATGGAAGCTGTTAAACAAATGCCAAGTGCAGCTTGTTCATCATCAACAACATCTCTACTCCATAGAAGTGGCGCAGGACATGAGCCATTTGTATCGTTTGAGGATATTGTTTGTATTGCTATGTTATTCATCTATAAAGAGAATAATCTTCTAATTAGAGTATGAAAAGTATGATCAAAATGATGGTATGTTGACAGTTCTGATGTGTAGCGGAATATGTCAACAGTAGTACAATTAAACATGTAAGATAAAATAGTTTTGATTCTTAAAATATTCAATCAAAGATATTCATCTATTAAAAAATTTCAGTTTATTTATGTTCATAACAATTAAAACAATAAAGCTTTCTATCTACATATTAATAATAATAATAGAAGAATACCTTTGTATAAAATCCGGACATCTACCTTATATATATGAATACATGGGTGTGGGTGTACCCCTGTGTATCGGCCTGCATGTGCAACTTAATTAACAGCCAACCACATCTCACACCACCGTTTGATTAGTTTTTCACATTTTTAACAATACGCAATAGTAATTTTAAGTCTAAAAAGATGAAAAGTACTTTAAAAGATTTATTTGCCAATACTTTTCCTGCTCAAAGTTTACTTTTGACAGTAACTTAAATTTTTTTTCTACTCTTTTTTACATGGATTTCACTTGCTGTAAATTTACTTGCTTTCATAAATGCGTAATAAAACTCTATAGAGACATGTAGGGCAAATTGAGAGACTTTTGTATTTTTCTTTTTCATAATCTATATTTTTGTCACTTTAGAAGATAGGAGGCATAGTAGCGTTTCAGATTTACCCCGTCTCGGGGTGAAAAAAAGTGAAATTCAATAGAATTTTCAACTCACCCTACTATGCGATAAATGATTCTTTATTCTTCCCAAGATGGAGAAAATCTAGAATGCCACTAGAGCTCTCAGAAAAGCTGGCGTAGAGTCTGTTTCAGACAAAATTTTGATGACCTAAACATAGAAAATTGATAAAGAGAAAAGTACAAAAATCTCTCGATTTGCTTCCCATATTTTTTACTCTAACTTTAAAAATTTCTAAGCTTAAGTTTAAATTTAAAGTGCCACCCCTATCCATAACATGAGAACAGTTCATTTCCTCAAATATGTTACAGCTCATAACTGGGACTCTTGATAAACACCTGCAATCAACTACCTTACTACAGTGTTAAGACATTTTCGGATGAAAGAAATCTAAATGTACCAACATATATGAATTTAATTGTCTTGATCTCATAAAACATAAACTACTGCGCAATCAAAAAATGAACTAAAACTAGCTGAATGTTGAAACGCTTAAAATCAACGCTTGAAGCGAGATCTTGTATGATGCACAAAATTCTATACGCAAACGGAAATTCAGAATACCTGCAGGAAATCCACCTCTCAGACACATCTTATCTCATGTTGTACTGTCATATCAGACAGTAAGACACGCATTTGACAAGAATCAAACAAGATCACAAGAGAAAAGATTTCCGAGAATCTAATTCTGCTGCTAATTCCATCTAAGCTTCAAACATTTAATATATAATATATTTAGCTAGTGAATAGTGGAAACACTCATCGGCTTCAATTGTTTTTTTCTTCATCTATTCGACAAGCATCAATGCAATGGATCTATGCTTATCTTCTTACTGATGTTTTTCTTCT